GATATAATTTGCGTCCTAAAGTATATCTACACATAATTGAAGTAATAGAATATTCTAGAACATGCATGCATGGCGGTAGTCTCACACACTCCCCCTCAAGATGGAGCATGAGGATCCCGAATGACCATCTTGGAAAGTAGATGAGAGAATTGATGAGCCCCTAGCGCTTTGGTGAAGATGCCAGCGGGCTGATTTACAGAGGGGATGTGATGCGTGGAAATAGTATTGCTTTGAACATGATCACGAACAAAATGACAATCGATATCGATATGTTTTGTATGCTCATGAAATATAGGATTAGAAGCAATATGAAGAGCAACTTGATTTTCACAGTAGAGGCGCATGGGATGGAAGTGACGAAAGCCAAGAGAGGATAAAAGTGACTTTAACCAGATCAATTCGCTCGTAGCAGATGCCATAGCACGATATTCAGCTTCAGCAGAAGAACGGGAGACAGAAGGTTGCTTCTTAGTTTTCCACGAAATAGGAGAGTTACCAAGGAATACAAAGTATCCTGTGACAGAGCGACGAGTAATTGGACAAATATCCCAATCTGAATCGCAAAAACCAGTGAGATTAAGAGGCGAGTCAGAACGAAGAAGAATGCCTTGACCAGGATGACCTTTGAGGTATCGTAAAACCCGAAGAGCGGCATCCCAATGAGCTTGTTGCGGTTGTTGCATAAATTGAGCAAGCACATGCATGGCATAACTGATCTCAGGACGTGTTAAAGTGAGACATATAAGATGTCCAATGAGCCGTCTATATTGCTCAGGATTGGAATATGGTGATCCTGAAGCATAATGAAGACGATGATTTTGCTCAATAGGAAAATTGGATGGCTTGGCACCTGACCACCTGTTAGACTGATTTCAGATAGGATATCCAGGATATACTTCCGTTGGCAGAGAAAATACCTGAGGCATTCCGAGCAACTTCAATACCAAGAAAATATTTAACTTTGTCGAAGTCTTTAATAGGGAAAAGCATTATCAACATCCATTTGATGGAGTTCCCAATGTTGAGCCATCACTTGATGATTTCCACAGATAACCAGACGGGCCTTAAACCGTTCAATGGAGCCATCACTTTTGTGTTTGATTTTATACACCCATTTGGAACGAATGGCAGTCTTGCCGGGAGGTAAAGAAAAAATACACCACGTCCCATTACGTTCAATTGCATCAATTTCCTTTTGCATCGCATCACGCCATCTAGAATCGCAAACTGCTTCACAGATAGTGGAGGGTTCTTTCTCGGCAGAAATAGCAGCCAGAAACGCACGACGTTGAGGAGAAAAATTAGTGTAACTTAAAGAAGAAGTTAATGGATAAGGAGTACCTGAAGAGACTGTAGGAGAGGTAGTGACAGAGGCGGGATCAACTTCCATAGTGTTAGTTTGAATATAACCCTTGAGTTTGACTAAAGGGCGCCTTTGGCGATGACCACGTCCAAGAGGAGTATCTGGTGGGGCAAGGACTTCTTGAGAGGCAGATGTAGGCATATTATTTGAGGATGGAGGTTCATGTGAGGTAAAGGAGTCGGCAGTAGGGGTAATATCAGGAGAGACAGGCACGGCGGGAGAGGAAACTGGTGGTGCACGCATATTATTTGAGGATGGAGGTTCATGTATTGGTGAAGAATGCCCGGGGGGATTAGGGACCGAAGGAGTAGGTTCATTAGAAGAAGATGGCGCAAATGGAAAGCAAGTTTCTTCAAAATGGACATCTCTAGAAACAAAGAATCTATTGGTTTCCAAATCAGGTACTCTCCATCCTTTTTGAGTATGGGAATAGCCGAGGAAAACACACCGAATACTTCGAGAACTAAATTTATCTGAGCGGCATCCTTTGAAATGAGCATAACACAGACACCCGAAAACTCGTAAATGGGAGTAAGAAGGGGCCTGTCCATACAAAATTTCATAGGGGGATTTTCCATTAATTATTAAGGGCCGATGGAGTACGGTTAATAAGATAACCAACAGTCAAAATACATTCACCCCACAATCGAATAGGCAGGTGTGCTTGGAAGCGTAATGCCCGAGCAACATTAAGTATGTGACGGTGTTTGCGTTCCACACATCCATTTTGTTGTGGAGTTTGGACACAAGAGGTTTGAAATAATATGCCTAAAGCAGGAAACATGGGTTTTAGAGGCATAAATTCAGTTCCATTGTCGCTACGGACGATACAGACCTTTTTATTAAATTGAGTCCGGACCATGGCAAAAAAATGTTGGAAAATCTTAGTAACCTCACTCTTAGCAGCCATTAAATGCACCCAAACTGCTCGGGAAAAATCATCCACTATAGTTAAAAAATAATAAGATTCACATGTAGAAGAGGTACTATACGGCCCCCAAACATCACAATGTATAAGAGCAAAAGATTCAACAGCACGATTACTACTGAGGTCAAATTATTCTCGTGTCTGTTTGGCACGTAAGCAAGTATCACAACACGGAGTATTATTATTGGAAACAGGAAAAGATAAACCAGGAATCATGCGAACCACTCGAGATGCCAGGTGACCCAAACGGTAATGCCACAATTCATAAGAGTCTCTGGTGGTTGCTAGTGAAGCTTGAGAAGGAGCAACACTATTAAAGTAGTAGACCCCGCCTTGATGCTTGCCCACTTCAATCAGCGTTTTCAAAGTGCGGTCATGTATCACACATAACTCTTCAGTAAAAATTACACTACATTTTATATCATCAATCAATCGTGCTATAGAGATCAAATTACACATCAGTTGAGGGACGAAAAGAACATTTTTTTAGAAGAACTCCGGGTCCAAGATAAATACGCTCAATTTGAGTGGCTTGCGTGACAGAGCCATTCTGAAGAGTAACAGGTGATGGTAAAATGGGAGTAAAATCCATAAAAAGAGATTTCACACCGGTCATGTGATATGAGGCACCATTATCAAGTAACCATTGATCTTTCATACCTATCAATTTTCCATTGGCGGGAGTGGTCTGATTATTAGTACTTAGTATGTTCATTAAACTTGTCCACTGTTAGGGCTTTTTCTTGTGTTCCCCCATCTTTAAGGCCATGGATAGCACCACTATTGTCCTTATACCTAAGACTGATAGGCCTAAAAATTTCACTCATTTTACGCCTATATGTCTTTCTACCTTTATCAGCAAGGTTTGTACCAGAGTTTTAACCTCAAGGCTTAGTTCAGTTCTGACAAAGATCATCTCCATAGAACAAGCAGGTTTCCTCCAGAACAGAGAAATTAGTGGTCATATACTTCTTGCACAGGAGTTAATGCACACATTGAATAAAAAAAGTTAGAGGAGGAAATATTGATATTAAATTGGACATGGTGAAAGCTTTTGACAGGGTCTCTTGGGCTTTTTTGAGGAATATTCTGATCAGGTTTGGCTTCTCAAACAGTTTAATCAACATTATTATGAACAGTTTAGAAGCTACTTGCATGTCTATTATGGTGAATGGGTACACCCATGGTTTCTTTAAGCCAACGAGGGGAGTTAAACAGGGTGACCCACTCTCTCCATATTTGTTCATTTTAACCTCAAAAGCTTTTTCAAGGGGGCTAAATAAATTAGTCCAAAATGGCAAAATCCTACCTTATTCAGTAAGCAGAGGAGCCCCAATTGTTTCTCATCTTGGATATGCTGATGATCTTTTGCTTTTCATGAATGGAGATGCAAGATCTTTGATGAATTTCTCCAACTTCCTGACTGTATATCAGCAAGTTTCAGGTCTGGCAATTAATTACAATATAAGCCAAATCATAATTGGGAAAAAAATTCCTGAAAGCAGAATTGAACCTATTCAGGATCTTTTAAATATGAAATGTTCAAAGCTGCCTATCAAATATCTTGGAGTTTATTTGCGTCAGGGAATTAACAGATTCAGATATTGTAAAGAAATTATCTCTTCTTTTGACAACAAGCTCTCATCTTGGAGGAAAAAAGTTGTGTCTCAGAGTGGTACACTCATTTTGATAAAGCATGTTTTGATATCTATTCCCATACACACACTGGCTGTATCTAAACTTCCTAATTCTGTCATAAGAATTTTGGAAAAAAGTTGTCTTCATTTTTCAATAATCTAGAAAAATAAAACACAGTGAACTTTTATTAATAAACAAGTTTTTTTTATTGAATAAAATAGTCCATGTTGTAAAAATATATTCTGAAGAAAAGAAAAAAAAATCACTTTGTGCTTTTATATGAATAAAGTTGGCTTTTCAAGAGGCTAGAAATACAAACAAAGTAAATTTTGTATTACAAACAGGCTTTTTTATAGTAAGAAAATATATCATGTAATAAAATTATAAGATGAAGAAAAGGATTAATCAAATTATAGTCAGTGTATCATAGCCGCAGAAGATAATTATGAAATGAAAACTTTATGACTTGTTACCAAATCTTTCTGTTATGCATCGGTTGTGCTGTAAGAGCAAATTGTATCTTTCATACAGGAATAAAATCACACAAATACTATCATTCATCAGTTCTCATTTTCATGTAATATCAACTTAAAGCCATAAATTCCAAATAGGAATATGTAAAAAATTCTTATATATAGTCATAAGGAAGCATCAATGGCTTACAATAAAGAGTTAGCAATGCAACTTCTTAAAAATGGTTGAAATTTATTATGAAGATTTGATTAAACAATCAATATAGAATAAGTGTGAACTTTTTTGGCACCTAAAGAAGAGAAATATTGCAGTTCCACCTTCTTTTTTTCTTTCTTGCCTTATCATTTTGCTAGTGTACTCTGCCTCTGCATGCTTTAAACATGCATGCAAAGGCATATATCAAAGAGAAGTGTACTACCTCATATTGCAGTACACTTCTCTTTCAACATTATTTTTGTTGAGTGTGATTTACCTCTTTTGCATACTTTGCATATATCAAATCAGTGAGCCATTGAATCATAGTCCAAGAAGATAACAATGAGAAGGAAATAAAACTATAAAAGTTTAAAGGTTGGAAAAGGGTGTAAATTCAGCGAATAGACAAAACTAATACCTCATTAGTGATATCAAATTAACAAAGCAAGGCCGACTCCACTTGCACATATGTAATCAAAGGCAATGCAAATTAACATCCTTCTCTTCCAACTGCATATTAACTATGAAATTATAAGATGGAATAATGGCTCACCCTATTAGGATGTCCAGGTGGTCTACATATAATAAAAAGATAAAATAGAAGAATTACAAAGATGTCCCAATATTATAGACTATTACACCCCCTCAATCTGTGCAGAGGAAACAACACGCAGATTGGAACGTAAAAACTCAAAACGCTGACTAGATAAGTTCTTAGTAAAAATATCAGCTAATTGTAGATGAGTCGGAACATATTTGACCACCAGGTATCCATGAGCAACTCTTTCTCTGACAAAGTGGTAATCAATCTTGATGTGCTTACTACGATCATGTTGAACGTGATTCACAACCAGATAAGAAGCAGACACATTATCACAATGGAGCTGAACCGGTGTGGAGAGCCGAATACCCATCTCGAACAGAAGGGAGCAAATGAAGAGAGTGTCCTGAACGGTGTAGGCTATGGCACGATACTCAGCTTCAGTGGAAGATTTAGAAACGGTGGGCTGCTTCTTAGAATGCCATGATATAAGATTGGGACCCAGGAAATTAGCATAACTAGTAGTAGAACGACAACTGTCTGGACATCCTGCTCAATCAGCATCTGAGTAGGCCTCAAGGAGAGAGATGTCACGATTAGCTTGTAGCCACAAATCATGATGTGTAGTACCCTGCAAATATCTGTAAATGCGCTTCACAGCCAAAAGGTGAGTAGTACGTGGTGCATGCATGAACTGAGAAACCAAATGTACAGCATAAGTAATATCAGGTCTAGTTAAAATCAAATATTGTAATGCACCTACCATACTGCGGTACTCAGTAGCATCAACAAGAAGTTCACCATCTGTGAGAGAAAGAGTAGTACGCGACGGAAGCGGTGTACGGACTGGCTTAACCGTATGAAGATGAAATCGACGTAATAAATCTGAAATATATTTCTCTGAGATATAAAAAGACCCTGGGATGTACGCCTGGTTTGAAAACCCAGAAAAAAATGAATATCACCCAGGTCTTTCATGGCAAACTGAGTGGACAGAGACTGAATGATAGAACGAACACGAGGTAGTGACGAGCCAGTGACTAAAATATCATCCACATAAAGAAGAATGTAAACAACCTGAGAGTGCTGACGAAAAACAAACATAGAAGAATCAGACTTAATCTGTGAAAAGCCATGAGATAGGAGGAAACCACTGAACCTGTGAAACCAGGCTCTTGGAGCCTGTTTAAGACCATACAACGCCTTTTTGAGGCGACACACATGATGAGGAAAAGTGGGATGAACAAAACCAGGAGGCTGACGCATATATACTTCTTCTGTGAGATGACCATGGAGAAAAGCATTTTTAACATCTAATTGACGAATACACCAGCCAAGAGACACAGCAATAGACAGAACAAGACGCACAGTGGTAGGTTTAACCACAAGACTAAATGTTTCTGCAAAGTCAACACCAGCCTGTTGTTTAAACCCTTGAGCAACCAAACGCGCCTTATGACGCTCAACAGTCCCATCAGAATTATATTTAGTCTTATAAACCCACTTACAACCAACCACATTTTTCAAGCCATCCCAAGGTACCAAGTCCCAAGTTTGATTTGAAAGTAGCGCATTAAATTCATCCGCCATGGCAGCCCGCCAAATAAAATGTTTTTGAGCTTCAGAATAGCAAGTAGGATCATTCGGGGTGAAAAAGCACTTAAATTAAAGATTGCCTTAGGCTTAAAATACCATCTTTGGCTCTAGCGCGCATTGGGTGTTGGTTAACTAGAGGCATCTGTGTGGGAGTGGGCAAGGAAGTGGTTGCTGGGCTGATGGAAGAATGAGATTATGGAGTCGAATCAGGAGTAGTAGACAAGCTGGTGGTGCGGGTAGCAGGACTAGTTATTGGGCTGGATTCAGATAAGTGGGGTTGGTTGGGCGTATATGTACTGGTTGATGGACTCTTGGGTAAAGAGTTGCCTATAGGAGATAATGGGGTACTGGGTTCATGTGGCAGGAGCTGGGTCGAGGTCATAGGACTTGAGTGTGGAGAATTAGGAGATAAAGGTGCTGCTATGGGTTCTGCGAGGAGTAGTTGGGTAGGTGACAGTAGAGATGGTCTGGGCGACTGGGCGTGGGTGAAATACTAGGAAAGGAAAAATTAAGTGGACAAGGAGACAGTGTATTAGGAGCAGAAGCAGAGGAGATGGATTTGGTCTTAACAAGTCTAGGATAGGGAAAATCAGTTTCAACAAATTGAACATCTCTACCGACATATACCCTACCCGAGATAGGTTCAAGGCATTGATAACCCTTATAACCCGGAGCATATCAAAAAAAAAAACACAATGAATAGAGCGAGGTGAGAGCTTATTAGAAGACTTGGCAATAAAGTTAGGAAAACACATACATCAAAAAACACGAAGAAAAGAAAAACCAAGAGATTTATTAAAGAGTTTTTCAAAAGGAGTTAAATTATTAAGTATGGGGGTAGGTAGACGATTGACAATATAAGTAGCAGTATACAGAGCATCGACCCAAAAAGTAGAAAGAATTAAAGATTCAATCAACATGGTCCTAGTCAATTCAAGAAGATGTCTGTGTTTACGCTCAACAACACCATTTTGAGTCGGAGTATCCGGACAAGACTTGCGAAATAAAATACCGGATTTAAAAAAATTATTTTTAAAAATGGTGTTGTCAAATTCACCACCCCCATCACTCTGAAAAGTCTTGATTTTTCACTATTACATTTAAGGACCTTTTGTAACAATCGAATTCGTTACTTTAGGTCTAAAAGTCCATTACATTAGTTTAAATGTAACAGTTTCATGTCGTTACATTCGCTCGCGTTACCTTTTCTCTATTGTAACGGTATGTAACAGTTTTTAAAATCAATTGTAACCCTTTTAGAAAAAAACCAAAAGTGTTACAAAATCCAACCCAGTACAAATGTAACAGTTTTTTTAAATAAGCAAATGTAACACTTCAGAAAAAATATGTAAGAAATATTAGATTTGTTCTAATATAGCATATGTAAGAAATATTAGATTTGTTCTAATATAGCATTTACTTAATTATATGTGTGATGTGTCTGTGGTGTATATATAACTTCAATGTTTTGAACGTAAATTGGAAATATTATTAAAAATTAATCTTTTATATATAACTAACAAATACAAAGCATCACATTTAGTACATTTATAGTACATCTCACACTTGTATCTCTCCAGTCTAAAATTGCATAATCAACTACAAAATTATACATACCATACAAAAACCTAAATCGTAATAAACTGCTCATAATTTGGGGCATCCAGTGTCAATTTCTCAACTGGTTTCGTAAGGTGAGATCATCCATTGTGTGGTTTCATTCTTTTCCTCTCCATGTGGATTGTGGATGAATTCCTTATCTGTAAAGTAAATATTTCAAAACATTAATTAGCATCCATATAAAAATTGATATTCACTATATTTGAAGAATCTAAAAATAATGATTCAGAATTTATTCTTCGCAAATTTTCAACGTCTGATGTAATAAAAAATTGTACACGACTATTATCAAATTCTCAAATTGTCAAACAAATACTACCATTCTCAAATATTAGTGTCAAAACCTTCTTATAGCAAAAAACAATCTGCAATACTATAGAGTAAAACGAGTTATTTGGAAAGATTTAGAAACTGAAAAATGGCATTCTAATAGGAAAAAAATATTCTTATAGAAAAATTAACTCTAGATCCGAAAGCTAAACACAATGTTTAGGATCATGGCTCAGAAATTGAACTTTCATGGCAAAGATAGTATGATGACTCAACAACCAAAGGTAGTAGATTAACTTACCTCTAAATGCAAACCTTATATTTTCTTGTAAAGGTAAAGAGCTCCAGTATAAAACTGTTCCAAAACCTGAAACTGAGTTTAGTTGAATACTATCTAATACATACCAGTACCATTTACTTACACAACAGGATTCTCTTGAGAAAACAGTTCTAACAATTCTTTAGAAAAAAATCAATACCTTACTAATATTGCAGTGCAGAACTGCCGATCAACACATCTACCCACTTCAGAAACCTCATAGAGCAACTAAACTACCAAAATATGAGCTAAACTAGAGGTTGTGGCAGTAGACACCACCTAAAATCTTAAAAATCCTTATGTGCTACATGGAAGAGTAAACTGGGTTTTATACTTTCTTTTATAAGGATTAGTTGTATACATATTTTCTTTCTCTTGAGGTATCTGCGGAAATATCTGAATGGTGTGTTGATTATTCTATTTCGAATGTTCTGTCCATAACAAAATGGATTAAGAAAATGAAGATTCTTTTTGCTATATATCTCTTAAATGCTAAGAAACTAAAATGCTAGAACTTCTTAATTAGTAGAATTCACCAGAGCACCTAAGATTAAGTAATATTCAAAAACCAATTAAATAACTAATGGTTGATTATAATACATGAATTCTTGGGATCTATTCATAAAATAGTTAGACTATGAATACATCTATTTTAATTAAACTTCAAGTTATGTTAGGAACATAAGCAACAAGAAGAAACTTAAACCGTACTTCCGAATTAGCACTTGTAAAAAGACACAATGTACAAGAGGGTTTAAAAGCTTCTGCTTTTACTCTATACCAAATGTAAAAAAAAAACTATTTAACTGACTGGATAGGGAGAATATATAAGTTATAACAGGGTCTGTTAACAGATAAAATAATATATGAATTCAAGAATTACATTAAGTGGATTTTTTATTTTTGTGTATAATCCATGATTATGAGAGGTTTATGTAGATCCAAGTAAGTGAAAATTTCAATATAAGCAGTTCAATTCAGACATGTATTCTCCCTTGAAAATAAAAATTAACTTAGTGGTGGCAGATTGAAAGCGCTACGATGAGTTTGTTGTTAGAAAATCCGATGAATCTGACTCATTAGGGCAGCAAGCCGTGTAGCAGGTATGGGCGAATGAAGTCAATAAAAAAGTAGCTGAAAGCCAAAGTAAAACAAAAATAGGACTGAAACGAAAGAGACATACCTAAAATTATCGACACGTAGATTGAGGATTAATGAAGATGACGGCCAACGGGCCGCGGAATGGCGCGCATCACGGCGTCACATGGTGGAGGTTAGAAGATGAAGGAGGCGACCATCGGGACCTGTTGTCTACAGAGTCCGGCTAATTTGCGACCCATTGAAGAGATCGACTGGAGAAATAATTGCGACCTGCTGAATGAATGAATGAATCAGTGGACTGGCCAGAAGATGCCCTACTCATGTATGCCCTATTTTGTTTGTATAGATTTTGTGCCTGTAAGTATATACCCACAACCAGATGGAAACAAATACGGAGTAGTTTGTCCATAGCTTTTCGGCTTCTTAATTGGGGAATTGTTAATGACGGATTTTTTTAGTTCTCTTCTTTCCATTGAATTGTCAAAGTGTTACATTAGCTTCAAACGAAGGTAACACTTATCAAAGGAATGTAACGGTTTATCTGGAGGAATGGAAGTGTTACATAATAACACTACCTAATGTAACAAGTGACTAACAAATGTAACGACAAATCCAAAAATGTTACAATATGTTACTTTTTTGTAGCACTTTAAATAAATGTTACAATTTTAATGTTACATTAGGCTTTAAAATGTAGTAGTGTTTCTAGTAAAAAGATTCTCCACAAGAGTTTGAAAATTACAAAAATGAGTAAACACCTCAGACTTACGCCTCATAGGATAAATCCACGTATAACGAGAAAAATCATCAATAAAGCATACATAATATTTAAAACCTAAATTGGATAAAACAGGCGATTGCCAAACATCTGAATGAATAAGTTCAAGTGGCGCAATACAATTATGAGTAACATCCTGAAACGGAAGTCTGTGGGATTTACCTAACTTACAAGAGACACAATTGTGAAGAAAACTACTAGAAACTGAAATTAATTTATTTTGCCGAAGTCTTTGTAAAACTCTCACCACAATGCCCCAAACGTTTGTGCCAAGTTGGTCCAGAAACTAAAGTTGCTTGAAGAGCATGAAAAGGATAGAGATGGTCTTTATTGGAGCCCTGAAGAAGATGCACCCTCGTCTGATTGTCCTTTATAGAAAAAGAATTTTTGTTAAAAATCACCGTACAATCATTATCCGCACACAACTTATGAATAGATAATAAATTATATTTTAAGTGTGGGACATGATAAACGGAGTTTAAAGAAAGTGGGCGACTAGGCGTAAAAAATTTTAAGACTACCAACATTAGAATTGGGTAACTTAGTACCATTAGCAACTTGCACTGAATTATGACCGGTGTAAGGGTGTTTATAAGAAAGAATACCTTCATGAGGGGTCATATAAGCAGAGGCACCCGAGTCAGGATACCACACAGACGCATTAGTTTCACTCGAGGGAAGAACAGCAAGGGCTGGAGCGGACGAACTAACAAATCTTGGACACGTGAGAGCAGAGTGACCTGGGGAGAAACATATTTGGCAAACAACTGGTGGAGGAGGAGAATAATTATGATCCACAGAAGGAAACCCTCTACTGACATTATTAGTACCACAAGTAGATAAATGATTAAAATATGAATAATCAGTCAAGACATTACTCAAAGCTGTACCTGGAATCCCATTCTGCTGATGACCACGAGCCTGATGTCCTCCATAAACAGGCTGTCCACCGTAAGTTTGCTGGCCGTGGGGTAAAGGAAGAATGGGCGGCTGCTGCCCGCCATACACCTGCTGCGGACCACCAAGCACCTGCTGCTGTTGACCGCCATAGCGACCGCGGCCGCGTTGCCCATGACCGTGCTGACCTCCACGAAAACCACGTCCACCCGGATGCTGTTGACCTCCACGTCCAGGCTGACCGCGAGCAGCACCCCCTCGATTGGGAGCCGCAGCAAATGCCTGGTGAGACACCCCAGAGTTTAGAGAACGGGTATAAATATTCCTTTGCTCCTGAGCCGTCAAAATGGGATGTAGCTTTTCAAGAGTAAGGTCGCCCGGGAGATAGTTAATGATAGTAAGCAACGATTCATATTCCTGCCCCAATCCAATAATAGTATACTCAAGTACACCACGATTGCTAACAGGAGAATTGATCATATTCAAAGCATCAACTAACAATTTAATTTCCAAAAGATACTGATCAATAGTTTGAGACTCCTTTTTAATATGGGAAATTTGTCGCTTAAGTTCTATAGAACGAGCACGACATGCATTCATAAAACGAGTTTCAAGTGCTTCCCATATTTGAGTAGAAAATTTTAGGTGATATACCGCCATCAAAATATCCCGTGAAAGAGTTGCAAAAAGCCAAGAACGGACTGTCTGATCAACTTTAAGCCAATAATTATACTCAGGATTGGGGATTTCCCGTCGAATAGCATCACATGTAAATTGTGGCGGAGCCGAAATTGAGCCATCTAGAATCCCAAAAAGGCCGTGGGAAACGAGAAAAGACTCAAATTGAGTACGCCACGGGAGATAATCCTCAACTGCAGTTAACCGAGTGGTGACAATATTCGGTACATTGGGTGTGGAACAATTGAGCTGCCATGGAAGCTAAAAGAGAGGGCTGAGAGGCAGAACCTGAGAGTGACAAAGCTGGCTGCTGTGAGACGGAACCAACCCCCGGTTGTCCTGAGAAGGTAGAGCCAGCGAAGACAGGAGGCGGCGGGAGTTGTTGGTCCAGAGTCGTGCGATTTCCAGTAAATGGAGCAAACGAAGGTGTTGCCACAAACTGAGATGGAGTTGCTGTCCACGAGAAGGGCTCCGACATGTTGAACAATCGATACGTGGACAGCGAAGGAGGCATAGAAACACCTGAGGACGAAGCTTGAGGTACTACTGGAGAAGAAAGAAACGATGAAGAAGACTGCTCCGTGAAAACTGTCGGTGCCATGGTGATTATTGGGGCACAGGAAGACGTCATATTGACGATTTGTGGCCGCTCAGAAAAGGAATCCGGCGCCTTGGAACTAGCAGAGACGATCGACGATGGTGCAGAGGTGGAAGCCATCGATCTTAAAATAGAGTAGCGGCTCGAAAAAAAACTAACGTAAACTAGGCTGCTGATACCATATGAAATTATAAGATGGAATAATGGCTCACCCTATTAGGGTGTCCTGGTGGTCTATATATAATAAACAAATAAAATAGAAGAATTACAAAGATGTCCCAATATTATAGACTATTATTAACATCCTTCAAAAGGAGTTTGAAGGGAATATTTGGAGCCAATGCAGAATCGATAATTTCGATATATACTTTCATCTAAATATAGGGTTACAGAGATGGAATTGAGATTGACATATAAATATAAATAGTCAGAGTTGAAAGATAGTACTCACCAATAATAAGAACTGTAAAGGTTTTCTAAGATAGATTCTCTGATTGTATTGGAGTTGCAAGAATTTGTACAAGAGTAGATGATGAAAAAGACTTGTTATCCAAGCAAAAGCTTTAATTGGGAGGGAAGATAACTTATTTTTAAGAATAGCAATTTGAATAGCAAATCTCTCTTCTTGGGAGGTGACGTTTGATCACGGATGGGGAGGTAAACATGTGTGTGAAGGGAGGTTAAATCGTGGGCGGCTGCATATATTCGGTGCGGCGAAGTGTGGCGAGGTGTGGCGATGTTGTGTGGGGAAGTGGCGAGGTGCAACTGATGATGCAGGAGATGATGAGTTGTAAATGAATTTTAAATGAGAATTGAAACATAGGTATTAGGTACTGTTCATGGACTAAATGCTGAAGTAAATGGGGAGGGGGGAGAGGCGGGAAAGGGGTTTGGGAGAGGGATTCTGCTTTTAGGTATATAGGATTGGATTCCAAACAAATACGTCATTAAATGCATAACGAAGACAAATTCATAATTCTCCATTGTGTTGATTAAACTTGTAGCCATACCCCACTCCTCAGTAGCTCCATTATCATGCACATTTCCAAGTGCTTGTAAAAACGAAGTCAACATAGACATCAAATGCACAATAGTTATGTAGTGTGACCCCCAACGAGTATCCCCGGTCGTCTCAAACTTACTTCTTGATTTTTCCCTTTCCCGCTTACTATCTCTCCTTTTTTCAAACTCTCAGCTAGTCTGTCATGCTCTATTTGTCCACGCCTATCTTTTCTTTAAACATAAGACCACATTTCTTTTTTCCATAACTCATCACTTAGAATAGTCCATGTGTAAGTAGATGTATACATAAAATAAGATGTGTTTTTTGCTTAGGAATGTGCTAGGATTTATAGTTTCATTTGGCTCGGACTTTGGCAGGGAATAGTAATTGAATAGGCAACGGTAACATTTTGGCACACAATTTGTCTCGACCATATGCACAACGGTCATATTTTGGCGCAAACTTGTCTCTTTGATCCAAACGCTCGTAAATATGACTCCCAAAATATGGAACGACATTTAGCACAAACAAGTTTGGCTTGGCTTTAGGTTCGGAAAACCATAAACACATATAACAGTAACTTATAAGCACGAATTTTGTCTCGTGTAATCAAACGGCTCCGGATATCGGCCACGATCGTTCACATGGATTTTGGCATGTCACATTTGGCACGGAGTTTGTCGGTGCCCCACATTTCTGGGATCATCTCGGTGGTGGCACGGATAAATCCGCGCCAAGTAGGGTCGGATTTTGGTTGGAAAGTTGATGGCACGGATGAATTTGAGTCATATATTCTAGGCTCATATCGGTGTTGGCTCGGATCTCTTTCGGTTCCAAATTGCGTCGGATTTTGGATCGGTTTTGCACCAAGCCTAAAAGTTGCAGTTTTTTTTCATTGTTGGTTTGTCTTTTGGCTCGGATTGTTCGATCCAAGTGTTTGGAACGGGTGTATCTGTGCCAAATTGAATACGGCGAGTATTTTTAGACGTCCGCGTCAAAATGCGAGACAAGTTTAGTAGGGATTATTTCCGATCCAAAACCCTTGCCTATAGCGAGTTATTTTGGTATTGAGCACCAGTGACATTCACAAGCATAATAACATATTGAAAAAAGTTACACACGATTCGATTAGACTTAGCAACAACAACAACAACTAGTTGAAGTTGGTGAGAAAAGCAATGCACATACCTTGTTGTCGGATTTTCCTTCAATATGAGAGCATTTAATCCATTGTACTCACCTCGCATATTTGAAGCACCATCATATCTTTGATCTCTCAGTTTTGATAAGGACAATTTATGCTTTGAAAACAACTCGCCGACAGCACTTTTCAAAGAAATAGCAGAAGTATCAGGCACATGCACAATGCCAAGGAAACGTTCAATCACATATCCACGTACGTTTATCCACATATCTCAAAACAACTCCCATTTGCTCCTTAACTGAAACATCTCTATATTCATCAACCAGAAGAGTGAATACATTATCCCCAATATCTTCAAGAATAACTCGTGTGACTTCAAAAGCACAAGCACTAGTTAATTCCTTTTGAATTTTTGGAGATGTCATTTGATTATTTCCGAGATCATTTTCATTCAGTGTCTTAGAAACCTCTTCATTTCTTTGACTATACCATTCTAGTAATTCAAGGAAATTACCTTTATTTAAAGAACTAGATAACTCATCATGACCATGAAATGCTAGACCTTGCTTCAACAGAAATCGTATGACATCCAAAATTGCGGTTAAACGTACGAGTGCGACACGCCACTTCTATTTCCCGACCATGTGCATTAGTCAAATGCAACACACATTGTCTTTGATTTTGAAAAGCTTCAAGTTGTATTCTTGCATCATTGTGAGCACTACCCACCACACCAACATGATTATTGAATATATCTAATGCTTTTTTCCAATTATTTACACCTTTTGTGAGTAAATGCAAGTTCTCCAACTCAGTCTCCTTTATTTGATTTTTTGAAACGATAACACCAGAAGCAATAAGCAGCATCTTGTGAAATGCTATACTCCAACCATGGATACTTATCAAACTAAGTAGGTTGAAAACTTCTTTTATCTTTACCACGCACTTTCTTAGGATATACATGGTCAATCGGTCTACACAGACCTCTTGTTAAATATTCTCTCAGAACCTAATCTCTAATAAAAGAATTACAATTCGACACAACATCATTTGGATCAATTTCAACACGAGGATGCTTTTCTCTATTACTTTCTTCGTTATCTCGTCTAGAAGATCCAATGCCTCGTGTTACAAATTGTAAAATAGACATGATCACATGAGTAACCTAACAAGTTAACAAAGTTTTCAACTTCAAATTCTTAAAGAGTTAAACTAATCAATCAATTAAAATTTATAGCAACTATAGCAATGAGAGTAACTAATCAAAAAAGTAGCACAGACAATTCCAACTTTATACCAATTCGATCAATTAATAAAATAAATTTTAAAGCAACTAAAGTAGTTGATCAATCAACTTGCAAAATAAGTTAAACCTAAAAAAAATTAATCAATTCAATTTCAAAGTAAATAATTAATTAAAGATTTAAAGCAAATAAAAAATTAAAGTAATTAAAAACATTTCAATTTTAAAATTAATTACCAAACTTACCCAAACTAGGTAACTGCCTTCGCCCTATTGAGGTTGGAGTTCGTGACACAGCTGTCACGCGGTGATGCAGGGGAGGGAACTGGCGAGGGAACCGACTGTCAAGGAAGCGAGGCAGGGACGGACAATCCGTTGTCGTGAGGTCAGCAACTAGCGAGGGCACGAGGGGTGAACGACGAACGAATGGGGCTTCGTAGCGGATGAAGTCTGGATGCGAATGGACGAATAGCCATTGCGATTGTGCGAATGAGGGGAACCTGGTCAACATGTAAATCAAAGTTCATGTCAAAACGACGTTGTTTTTGTTTTCATGTAGTGCACGTATCCAAACGATGTGGTTTGGGTCATTTAATTAATTAAAAGAAACAGCTTGTCAGCTTGCATCTCGATACCTGGTTCACTGCATCTCCCACGGGCCATGGCAGTCCCAAAGAAGAATATGAAGGGGGCGCCGATTTGTATACCTAATACTAGTACCAAAAATATCTGGCGAAGGGGTGGAGGCGGCACCGGCTCGCCCCTGGTTCCGCCCCTGCTTGGTCAGCTGTTGTTAGTTGTCAACCACCTGTTGCCCTGATGTGTATCACTCTGCCTCGTATGAGCCCGAAGCCATGGCCCATACGGCTTCTCACCAATCCATGGCCCGGTGTGGATTAGGACATAAGCGGTCTGCATGACCGAGGGTTCCACACAGGAAGCAGAAGTTTGGAAGACTCTCGTAATGAAAGTCTGCCCATATCCATTTATCTCCCTCCTGTCGGACCTGCAAGCTCATAGTCAGAGCCATAGTAATATTGATAGTAACTCTAATATGCAATAACAATTTTTGCTTTCCACCAAATGAGCCTTCGTCCACTTGCACAAATGATGTGAGTTTTCTCGCACTTAAAATGTGTGGCAGTATAGGGTATAAGTACGAGTATCGTCTCCATAGGGACGGACAAAAGGGAATTAAGAATTAAATAAATTCAGAGATAAAAAGAAAATAAAATAAAAATCAATTGTGCGAGATTTGACTGATTGGAAAATTTAAAATGCGATTAAACGAATAAATAGCTTGGTTTCTCTCTAATTAACGACGAAGGGAACATGGATTGATTCCGGGGTAACCAGATTTTTGGCAGATCAGGCTTAATTACATGAATTTAATTTAATTGAGCCTAGCTAATCATTACTAAGTTCTTACCACTCTCGCGGCGTAGAGTACAATAATTTAGAGGACTAGGTTGATCGCTCATGCGACATGATCCTAAATTATTGCCAAGACAAACGAGCTCATATCCCCTTAAATTGCTACTAATATATTAGCGAACGATTAAGTGTGTGTAAAGGTGTCTTAGAATAAACTAGATCTCTCTTAATTTATTCTACATGCAATTGTAATTCTAGTGGTCATTTTAGGTTACAAGAAATATCAATTAAATCATCCATACACAAATTAAATAAAGATTCATGCAAGTTATACCATCAAGAAACTAGCCATACATCATGAATAACCCCTTCATCAATCCCAAATCCCTAATTAAAACTACTCACAATTCATAATTGAAAAATCAATAGAATTGAAAAAAAGAATTAATTGTCACTAATTAAAAAGATGGAACTTACAAAGAATCCCAAAATATTTATGAACAAGTCTGAAAAGCTCTCTAAATTTTGTGTTAGGCACTCTCTCTAAGCTCAGTCACCTCAAAATAGAGGTATGGAGGCCTTATTTAAAGAAAACGGGAGAAATTCGCATCAAATTAGGATTTCGGAAGGCAGGCATGGCGTGCCTCCTTGGTAGGCACGATCGTGCCTGGCCTCCAGGGGCTGGGTGCTCCGTTCTTCTTCAGGAACGGCGTGCCTATTGGTCAGGCATGACCGTGCCTGGATCTTTCCTTCGCCGGGTCATCTTCTAGGAACGCACGGCGTGCCTGCCTTCGGGCACACGGCGTGCCCCCTTCCCTTCTGAATTTGATAATTCTTCCTTCATGAAAGTTGTAGATAATGAAGTCTTCTATCCATCAAAACTTACATAACTGGATTTGAATCTTCCAAATATAAGATATGAATAAAATGGTGGAAGGTCGCATCCTGAAATCTCAACAACAGTTATCTGACTTTCTTGTCTGTTTTCACCTTGCTCCTCTCAAATTATCGCAATAGTATCTGCATATGATTTGTTTCCCTTGACGTTAGCTTGCATATGAAACTTGAATCGTGTACATGGGATGTTTCTACAAAAAGATATGCTTGAATGATTGACAGAAGGTTATCCTGAACGCCTTCAAGCGAAGGGACTCTTGATCTTTTCCATAAATCAACTGTGCCTTCAAGCGCTTCTGGATATACCTTTGGTAAAAAAAAAAAAGAGGTTATCCTGAACGCCATTTTCAAGCACTATTCATCTTCTTTTGATCCCATAGCCAATCCTAGAGCTCTTTTATCATCAAATCTTCATCGTGAACCTCCTAGTGACCTCCAAAGCTCTCAAATCTCTCTAGAATTCATCTTGACTCGTCCCGATTTCTTCTCAAGCGCCGGTGTCGGACTCTAATTTCCCGATTTTTATCCAAACAACACAAAACTCGAACCAACGCCCGGTAAACATAACTTGAGCTAAAATTGAGACTTATGACACCTAAAAGCTAGAAAAACCATCAAAAGCCGATCCCAACATGCATCAAATGCGTGTTGTAATACAAACTTATCAACAAACGATCCAATACTATTGGTTATCCCTCGAGCTGCCCTTTCCTTTCCATCGGTAGGTTGTAAACCTGAACCCATAAATCAGCATGGCCCACTGAAACTTCAAGGGGTATATCAGTACGCTCCACACTCCTGACCACAACTAAGTTTTGTTCAAAGGACCAAGACCCTTCATCAATGACTCTGCTAAGATCTCCTTCATGGTAAAACTGCAAAAAGAATTTGGAATCCCCGATCTCATCAATTGAAACTCCCGAACTGGCCGCCAAACCATAGTTATTGTTTGACACAACGAAATAGCCCGAATGGGTGTGTCCGAAACCACTCTGGCCACAGTTGAACATGGGGCTCCCTCAACTGCCACATCATCACTCCTTTTTGGATTTGCTGCTAGCACCAAACCCATGTTCTCTTCCTCAACAAAGGATATCATACTATAATTCTTGGTAATCATCTTCATATTGACAAAACATGAATACAACCAAAAATAGAACTACTCTAACCAAAGCGACGCACACAGAAACAGCAACACAAAGACAACAAAACTACGAACCACTACCAACTCGACGTCGGAGAAGCACCCCAACCATCAATCCAAAGCAGAACATCAACCATATCTCGATCACAGGTGCCAGATCAAAATGCTCGGGACACAGCACGAAAATTAAAAAAAAAATGAAAATCAACTAATGGAGTACCAAAGGAGAAGACCTGCGCACGTGAGTCACAATGCTTGCCAATTCAAACCCAACCTTGGCTGCAGCTCGAGATCGCCGTTGGCGCTTAGGGTTTTTTCCTCAGCCGCTACATCCCTGAAAGTTATTGCATCAGTGGTAGAAGACTTAATTAATGTTTTTGGATCATATGGTAAACACCCTTTGATGTGTTTGGGCTGGGTGTTGCGCTTATAAAGAAAAAAAGTTTAAATATGTTTTTAATCACTGCAAATATAGTACATTTTGTTTTACATCCCTGCAAAATTACTTTAATGTTTTTCGTCCCTGCAATTTAGGTTGCTTTTCTTTTTAGTCCATCACTAATGATAACAATCTCCGTTTAACCTCAAAATAACACCGATTAATAGATCTCCTCTAATTCTTTGCCATGTTATTAAAAAAAGTATTTAATTTAATTTTTAGAAGGTTTTTAATATATATTTTTAAAATGTGAATACTTAGTTTTACACCGTTTTAACTCTCATATTAGCCTCAAAAAATTATAAAAGGAAGAATTTAAATAATTCTAGTAGACTTACGTAACTGACAATAACTTTTTTGTAAGTAGAGTAGTTTCAGAATCAGATATGGACTAAAAACAAAATAGTGTATATTGCAGGGATGAAAAACAAGAAAAATATTTTGCAGGGACTTAAAACAAATTTTGTCATATTTGCAGGGACTAAAAATGTATTTAAACCAAGAAAAAAATGATGACACTCTATCCCTAAGGGCTTCAGAATTAATCCAACGGTTATTTGAGAAGAGGTAAATTAAGCTTTGATGGCTAGCTATTGTCTTTGAGACGCTTAATGAGGCCTTTTAGAATATCAAATATTAATAATAAGAGGCTTTCACAAATCAAACCTGTAATATATACGTAGTATTTACTTATATTTCCAAAATTTAAGAATTATTTATAATTATATATTAAAGATTTGCCAAAAAATAGGTGAAATTAATAGGAATAATTTATACTTTCAAGAATTCTAAAATAATAATCCCTACTGAAAGTGTTCATGAAAATAATCCGAATTGAAAATAATGGTCACATAAATAAATTGGAGTTAATTAAAACTAATGCATATTTAATCCTTCGAACTCCTACTCCCATATTTCCCTTCACCACTCTTCTTCTTGGGGTGGATTCAAATAAAAACTCGCCTAAAATACTCATTCCGTATTAATTGAGTATTAGTTTAAATTCAATTCAATTTATTGTTGTGAACACCATTGCTAGTTCAGATTATGTTTATGAAATCTCTCAATATGAATTATTATTATAGAATTCCTGAAAATATAGATTATTCTTATAAATCTCGTCAAAAAGAATATATCATAAAGTAACATGGAGCAAGTACAAATACCATCTAGAACGATTGTCCGGCTAACCAGCCCTCCCTAAATAGTTTTGAAAAGTCAACATTTTTTATCAAATAATTTTATTTTTTCACTTAATTAAAATACCAATTTTTTATTATATTCTAATTCGGATTTCGCAATTTTTATAAAGATTTGTATGTGGTTTTTGGACATGTATTTGAATGACAAAAAATATTGACAATTTGGAACGGAAAGTATTAGGATGTTTTTACTTGGACTTGAATTTTCTGGTCTGCCTGATCTAGTTTGATCTGAACTGATCTGATCTGTAAAATGTCTAGTCTTTGTATATTTTATAATTGTCCAAGTATGATCTAGTGTGATCTGGTGTGATCTAATATTTTCTAATCCGGTGGGAGTGAAAAAGTCTAAGTAAAAACACTTTTTTTACCTGGAGAGGCCACTAGAAGTGGGGAAAGCGCCGGAGAACACTTTCCAAATTTATTAGAAGATTAAAGTACAAAACCAGAGTTCAACATGAAAAGTACGTGACATAACACAAACTGAAGAGTTAACAATAAAAATTTATAGGCACCTTGACAGTTGTTGAGAGCTTCAAATTGTGTTTTTTGTGAAACTGAATGGCCCTTTGAAGATAAGAAGGGTACGTCTTTGCATCAGGGTGTAATGACTTGTAACGTTTGAGTCCAGTAACAAGTTTGTGGGGCGAGTCGTAGTTTGAGTAGATCGGGTAGATAAAGTAGTCTTCATCATCTTGGAGCATATCTGATTGACTTTTGGTGATCAGCGGATGATCCTCGTGCGGAAGCTCTTGAGTAACATGTTCCTTAGCTTCAGCTATCACCTGCGTAGAATTTGGACCTACCATCTAGTCCGAGCGTTCCTCAATTGCCTCCATAACTAATCGTTCGGTGTGTGCGCTTTCGATCTGTCACAATGGTTTGGGTCTCTTCCTCACATTTTTGCTCTTGGATAGCTACTAAGGTCTCAACCTTTTTCCCAACACCTTGTGTTCCTTCAACAAAATCCTCTGTGATCTTAGACACCTCTTTTTCTTTTTCCGCTAACTTTTTGCAAATGAATGGATGATGTCCATATTCCTTACAATGAAAGAGGAAATTTGGGAATGTTTCATACATCACAAATTGCCTAAAAACTTTCCGATATGGTAAACGGATGTGGAATGATTGTGGGGGCGGTTTGGACGCATCAACTTTTATTAGCACTCTTGCAAATTTTTGGTTAGTCCTTTCGCGGGTAACCATGTCCGTGTTTAGCGGAACCCCAACCATAGACGCTACCTCATTCATTGCTTCTTCATTCCAAAGCTTCATCCATAAGTTGGGGAGTTTGACCCAAATTGGCACTTTTAGGAATTCTTCATCATCAAATGAGAACTCCTCAGAAAGTGCCTTCAAAATAAGTAACTTACCATAAATAGTGTATGGCCCCTCCGTCAGCACTTTCAGTCTATCTGCCTCATTTTGAAATTTAAAAATAACCCAACCTTTATAATGAGACTGAACAAGACATTTGACCCCCCATTTGTCTTTCAATTCGTGGACTGCTTTTAGACCTGGAAAGCGACCCGTGAAACATCCAACTAGGCAATAACCCCACATTTCTACTATGGTTGGCATAGCCCTATCAGCAAAGTCGAAGTAAAAACATCATTGTTTTTATTTTGACTAAAGGGTCAAATAGGCCCTTGAACTATCTTAAAAAGTGTAATTCACCCTTTATATAGGAGGCTCTGTCCGGTCGTCACTAATTGGTGCGGTTACCGGTGAAATTTGTTGATGATTTTTTTTAGCATCTTCTTCATTAAGTCTAGTCTACACATACCAAATTTCAGATAAAAAATCAACCGGGAAGACAGTCAAAGGATTCTCTAGAATGTACTGTGTTGTTTAACTGTGCAGTGATCTTCAAAAAAGCATTTGACTGCCTTTCCGATTGAGTTTTTAGCTTAAATTTGGTATGAGTAAACTAGACTTATGAAGAGGATGCTCAAAAAACAATTATCAAAAAATTCATCTGGAACCGCCCCAATTGGAAACGACCGGACAGAGCCACTTATATAAAAGGTGAATTGCACTTTTTAAGTTAGTCTGAGAGCCTATTGGACTCTTTAGTCTTTTACTACCTCCGTCCCCCTAAGTTTGGGACAAGAGAAGGTGACACGGTTATTAATAAAAGTGTGGTTATGTGGTTGATATTGAATTGATAAAGTAAAAATAAAGTAGGAATGATTTAGAACCACACAAACTTTACCAAATAAGGAATGAGACAATCTTAGCGGGATGGAGGGAGTATTTTTTTTATTTTGACGAAGATTCTGTGGTTTTTAACACGTTACCGCGTCTACCAAAAGAAAAAAAACGGGATAAGGGTCAGTTTGGTCCTCGAAGTTGCAAAAAAGGGGTCAAATAAGTCCTTATATAGAAAATTTTGTCCGGACGTGCCATTTGAGGTGGCTCCCGGTGGAATTTTTTGATGAATTTTTTTGAGCATCTTATTCATTAAGTCTAGTTTACTCATACCAAATTTCAAATAAAAATTCAATCGGGAAGACATTCGAATGAATTCTTGAAGATAAATGTGCCGTTAAAAGCGCAGTTATCTTCAAGAATTCATTTGAATGTCTCCCCGATTGAATTGTTAGCTGAAATTTGGTATGAGTAAACTAGACTTAATGAATAAGATGCTCAAAAAAATTCATCAAAAAATTCTATCGGGAGCCACCTCAAATGGCACGTCCGGACAGAATCTTCTATATAAGGACTTATTCGACCAAAATGACCCTTTACTCGACAAAATACACATTACCGCGTGGACTGGCTGATAAGTCGGCGCAGAAGTTCGATTGCACATAGAATTCTATTCCGTTCTTTTTCATATAAACAAAACCTCTTCCGTCGTTTGTTATCAACTGTGCGTAAAGCGTGCGCGACCGGCGATACTCCCATCTCCATCTTGCAGGTAAGCGCCGCTGTAACCTTCAATCTCAGAAACTTTTCTTCAGATTGGTGGTCTGGATATGAATTTGGTGTTTTCCGAGCTCGGGTGCAGCAATTTTTTTACACTGGGTCACTTGCTGTTGTTACGTTTTGATCTATCATATGCTTGTTTTTTATCCTCCTTTAAATGTATTGATTGGTGGTTAATGCATTGGTTTTTGTGTATCATCGATCGGTTGGATTCAATATATTGATCTAATCGAAGTTTGTGACTTCGGATCGAGTCAAAAATCTAATTTTTTATTTCATTATTTGTTATCAAGCACGGATTACCTATCTAGATCTTAATGAACACGTTTTTGAAGTGTTATTTGTATTGGGACTGTTCAAACACTATGGTTCATACTCGTATTTGGGAGGTGATATCGATGTGCCAATTTTCTATGTAAAGTCGCTATTAATGCTTTTCATTTTAGATTGCAGCTGAAATATTTCGATCTGGTTACTCTTTTTTAATGATGCGTGCATATGTATTTGATTTGTTTGTTTGTTTATTTGATGATGCAATAATCCAACTCTTGTACGCATTCCATTCTGCAAGCCTCTTTACTCTCCTCACATCTTGAACTTTTGCATTACCCCCTCTGCCTCATCTCTTAATGAATTAAAAACTATATCAAATCAGTAAATTTGGTCTTCTTGTTTTGTTTCCAAATCATGTTCAAAGTTCAGTCTTTTAAATAATAAAATCATAATAGTGTAAAATGCTTGTTACAATACTATTTAGTATTTACAAGTTGGAGACAATAAGATACAATATTGAGTTACAGGAGTATGTAGGTTTTCCCTTTAACTGTGGCCACTATAGTCTGAGGACTCCGAGTCATTGTTTGGAAGTTGGTATATCCTGGGTTTTACAGCGTGTGACATGTATCTTGCAGTTTCTTTGAACCTCACAATGGCTGACACACATGAGAATGATAACAACATTGAGATGTGGAAAATCAAGAAGCTGATCAAGGCGTTGGAAGCTGCTAGAGGCAATGGTACCAGCATGATCTCTCTAATCATGCCTCCACGTGACCAAGTCTCTCGTGTAACTAAGATGCTTGGAGATGAGTTCGGAACTGCATCAAACATTAAAAGCAGAGTTAACCGTCAATCTGTTCTTGGCGCAATCACATCTGCCCAGCAGAGGCTAAAGCTCTACAACAAAGTGCCCCCAAACGGTCTTGTCCTCTACACTGGAACCATTGTCACAGATGATGGGAAGGAGAAAAAGGTCACTTTTGACTTTGAACCATTCAAGCCCATAAATGCTTCGCTGTACCTCTGCGACAACAAATTTCACACAGAAGCTCTGAATGAACTCTTGGAATCCGATGACAAATTTGGGTTCATAATCATGGATGGTAATGGGACTCTCTTTGGGACATTGAGTGGAAACACTAGGGAGGTTCTTCACAAGTTCAGTGTTGACCTTCCCAAGAAACACGGGAGAGGAGGTCAATCAGCTCTTCGGTTTGCACGTCTTAGAATGGAGAAGCGTCACAACTATGTGAGAAAGACAGCCGAACTTGCTACCCAATTCTTCATAAGTCCTGCAACAAATCAACCAAATGTTTCTGGACTGATACTTGCTGGATCCGCAGACTTCAAGACTGAACTTAGTCAAGCGGATATGTTTGACGGGCGTCTCAAAAGTAAAATCTTGAACGTCGTGGATGTTTCTTACGGTGGGGAGAACGGCTTTAACCAGGCTATTGAGCTGTCTGCTGAGGTATTGGCTAATGTGAAGTTCATTCAAGAGAAGAAACTTATAGGGAAGTACTTTGAGGAGATCAGTCAGGACACAGGAAAGTATGTATTTGGGACGGAGGACACTTTGAAAGTACTGGAGATGGGTGCTATTGAGACACTTATCGTTTGGGAAAATTTGGAAATCACTAGATACGTCTTAAAAAACAGCACAACCGGAGAGATTGTCATAAAGCACCTTAACACGGATCAAGAGATGGACAAGAGTAACTTCCGTGATCCGGAAACTAATGCTGATCTGGAAGTTCAAGAAAAGTTGTCCTTATTGGAGTGGTTTGCAAATGAGTACAGACGGTTTGGTTGTTCTTTGGAGTTCGTCACCAACAAATCACAAGAAGGGTCTCAGTTTTGTAGGGGGTTTGGTGGAATTGGGGGTATACTGCGCTATCAGCTCGATGTACGAGCTTTTGATGACTTGTCTGATGATGGTGGAGTTTATGAAGACTCGGACTAGCAATTAGCCAACATCTATACTGCCGGTGCGGGTATGCAGTGGGGGTCCTGCACCTGTGCGCGAGGGCTCGCCCTTCTCTAAGCCCACCCATGCGTTCACATAAAACATTTCTTGAAGCTACCAAGGTAAATGACGTCCCCATATTGCCTGCCTAGTCACTATTTATTACTCGGTTAAATTGTGTTTAATTTCTTAACATGTTTTCGTAAATTTTATTTGTGGACTCCTCCACAGGTTTTCTAAATAAAGACTTATTTTTCAATGCAAAAAAAGGCACCCAGCCTCATAACAAGAGTCCTGTTTCAAAAGTCTTATTGTCTCAAAAGAAGAGACATGAGTCTCGTTTGGCAAAATAAAGCAATTTCCAGAGTAGTGAACCAGTTTCATATAGACATATGTAGTTAATATATCAGAATAATTTTTAATTAATATGCAAGTATGGCAAAACAAGACTCTTTTTCGGAAAAGAGTGACTAAATTTTCAAAACTCACAATTTGCTGTTGTGTTTAGAAATGCTGAAGAAGTGGTTGCCTATTTGGAGCAAAGAGGAGGTGCCAATGGTTTCTTCATCATCTTTAGCAGGGAAATTTGGGCACAATAAACTTGTTATTCCCACGCGTCTCCTGAAAGCATATTTACACAGGTTTCTGGTATAGCAGTTCCTCCCACGACTAAGTTGGAAGGCTTCTGCTCGTTTGGACTCATCTAATAAATTACTTATGCTATTTATATTTACGGAGTACTACTATTAGACTTTTGGACTATGTTTACTCTGTTTGCATCAAGAGAATCAGTTGAATTTTACATTAATAATGATGGTTTATGGGACCATGAGTTTGTTGCTTTTGTTAACTGCTTGCCTCATTATGTTCCTCAGTCCCATGTATACTAATGTTTCTATTTGGGGACGATTGCAAATTGTGTTTGGCTAAATGGTCAAATAGGTTCATCTATCTCTCACTTTCAAATTTCAAATTACCTGTCATTAGTCATGCACCCGGGTCGGTCCGTTCCCTGTTCCGGGCCGAGACTGCCCCGTACTTGCTGTTTTTGGATGAAGCCCAGGACTGACCTGGTTATTTCCGCGTCTGGGCTGGTTCTGGGAACCCGGTCAGTCCGGTCCCGGTTCCGGACCCGAGCCCATTGTATTTTTTTTTTTAATTTTGTCTGGTTCGAAGGATGAAACAAAAGATCGCCTTGTTTGGTCCTTAAAACTGTGAACCTGGTACCCCTCTTGGGTGAATAGGGTTGGACTCCAAAACTTTTTATTTCATATGAGTACTTTCTATTTGAGCCTCCTTATATATTTCCTCCCCTATATATATATGTGTGTGATATAAAATTAATTTTAATATTAGTAAAGTTGCCTTTATTTGCACAATGTTGATTGTGAGTTTAGCTCTTTTAAAATGAAAATAGAAATTTGCAATTAATAAGCAATACATTAAAATAAATGTTACACTTACAAAAAATAACACATCAATAAAAGTAATGTGTACACTCCAATACTAGATTATACGTGCACGTTTAGAATTTAAAATTTTCAACTAGATACTTTATACGGAGTAATTTTTAACGTATACTGATTTTATAACGAAAGAAAATCAGCTGGTTTTTACTATGTATAATTTTTCACTAATTTTCATTATATACAATACTCATTTCGTTTTGCCAAAAAAAAAATCAATACACTTTTCGTACAAAAGATATCATCTTGTACTAGGGAAATACTCATTCCATCATCTAGTGAACCATTTTAACGATAATTTCATATATATAATATAGACAAATCTTCATGTCAGGCCGGCTTGACGGGATGCTCCGTCCGGCCGAGTTCGTTTGGACACCTTCCCGGTGGAATTTTTTGATGAAATTTTTTGAGCATGTTCCTCATCAAGTCTAGTTTGTCCATACCAAATTTCAGCTCAAAATTTGATCGGGAAGGCATTCAAATAATTTTTTGAAGTTGACTGCAGTTTAATATGTATATTTTGACGCAGTCAACTTCAAAAAATGATTTGAATGCCTTCCCGATCGAATTTTGAGCTGAAATTTGGTATGGACAAACTAGAATTGATGAGGAACATGTCCAAAAACTTTCATAAAAAAAATCTACTGGGAAGGTGCACAAACGGGCTCGGCCGAACGGAGCATCACGTCAGGCCGGCCTGACATGAAGACCACTCATATAATATATAACCCTCAACACGTTAAACTTTTGATAAACTTTTCATATATGCCGAAAATTTGTCACTTTATATTTCAACCCTCCCCCCCACAAACTTGAATAAATTTTTTCCTTTTTTATTTTATGTAGTCCTTAAACTCGATAAAATTGTAGTGACAAAAGAGAGTTCATATTGACATTAGTCATTACTAATTTAGGGTGGGTTGATGTTAAAATATGGATGGGCTTATCACCAACATCAATGGAATAATATTAATTGTGAAATTGCACTTCTCTCATACAAATAGGGCTGGAGTAGTACCTTTGTTAGTAATATACGGTTCGTGAATAATACAATAATACGTACGTTCGTGTATAATACGATACAATTATATAAAATACGGCTAAATATATGTTTCATACGTTCGTGAAATGCATAAAGATACGAACGTGTTTTAAACGTTTCATAATTTAAAAATACGACATATAATACATGTCTTATAGACAATTTAAAATGTACGGGATAGTTTTTTCAGATATAAAATTTAATTCATTAGGTACAATACGTAATAAAAATGATATTTCCTATTTATGTAGAAATAGAGAGATATTTCTAGAGAACTGTTTAATTACTGTGGCCGTAAATTTGGTGAGCCGCCGTAATAATCTTTTCTCTTTGGAGTCTTTGTATGAGTAGATAACAAGAGTAACACAATAGTAGTCCAAGTCCAATAGTAATATCGAAACGAGTTATGACTTAAGAAGCTAATTTATTAAATCTTATGACTATTAAACAATTAATGAACATATAAGACATAATAATTTTTAAGCAATGAGGACTGCTCAGGTCCCTCTGGAGGGACGGGAGGGACAGTCCGAACTTTACTGTTTGGGGTGGTTCCCGGTGGAATTTTTTTATGAAATTTTTTGAGCATGTTCCTCATCAAGTCTAGTTTGTCCATACCAAATTTCAGCTCAAAATTCGACCGGGAAGGCAGTCAAATAAATTCTTGAAACTTACTGCACTTTATATATGCGCAGAATGTGCAGTAAGCTGATCTTTTCTGTTTAAGCAATATAAATAGTATTGAGCAACTAGACATTTTGCTTCAGTTGTACCACTCCATTAGGCTTCAGTTTAATGGTGTTTCTTTAATAAAATACGTAACAATACGTACATTACGTGTATTATACATTTTATATTTAAAGTACGTGAATTTTTCAGTATTTTTTGAAAGATTCATAAACAGGAATATTATACGCGAATTATACATTTGAGTGTATTATACGTGAATTATACGCGAATAAACTAACCCTAACAGAGGGCTGGACCCAAGCCAATTCTAAGTGCGGCTCCTAACCCCATGTATTCACCCATAGGCCATAACCAGAATTCGAATTTTCAAGCAAACGGGCCAAGTTTTGTTCGTTCATTAATAAACAATGAATAACAGGGAAGAGATCCGGAACAAAAGGCTGGATTCATCCCATTTTGGAGGAGTTAGAACTGCACCCGAGTTTAGCCAACTCAGCATATCGGTTCTTGTCTAGTCCAACCGTACAGGTGACTCACCTGCCTGGGTTAGGAACCGGGCTACGCAAATTTAGAAGTGTTAATTTAGGTTTTGAACACATTAGTATATATTATGAGTAGTGATGGACCCGGGCCGGGTCGGGCCCGGGCCGGGTCAAGGCCCGGTCGGGCCTCGGGTCCTATAACGGTAGGCCCGGGACCGGCCCGGTCAATGACCGGTTCCGGTTCGGGCCGGGCCACCCGCCCGGGTCACGGTTCGGGCCACCCGCCGGGCCGGGCCGGGCCAGTACAATTTTTTTTTATTAATTATATATTATACAAATTGCTATTAAAAACAAAGTTCAAGTGCATTTATTTGAAATAAGAACTACATTTGAGAATTGAGAAAAAAATAACAATACGAAATACATTTTGTAATGAATATCAATTGGGATTTCTGCCACCGTTGGTTGTTGTTTTCCCTTTGTCACAGGACTTCATATGTTTTATTGGCATCCCGTATCCGTATGAACGCCCCAAGCAACAGTCTTTCTTGCACCACCTGCAAGTTGCCCACCACAGTCCGGTCTTCGGGTCCTTCCACTTGTCAAAATTGTTTTGCATAAGGGAAGATGTACTTTCCATATTTAAAATGGTATATGTATAAGTAGGAATGTAGGATAATAAGAGAAGATGAAGATGGAGAAGAGTTTGAGAAGAATTGGAGAAAAGGTGTAGAAAAATGTTAGAAAATAGATGTATTTATAGATGTTTTTGAACCCCACTCCCCACACCACCACCCCCGGGACCCCCCTGCCCCCCACCCATAGCCCCAACGGCTATATAGCCGTTTGGGAGCTTTGAATTATTATTTTTTTTTAAAGTTATACACATATTGTAAAATAAATTAATTAATTTAATGAATTAAGTAAAACTAAAACTATTTGTACTTAGAAAAGTGGTTTGATTTATAATTTACAAATGTTACAAAATAGGTGTATAAGTATTTAAACAAATTACATATTCTAAATGTATTTTTAATTTAAAAACCGGCTTTATATTTTAGAAAAATAATTTTAAGTCGTTAGATTGTAACCAATTAATTAATTTGAGAAGTGCTACATATGAAAAAGTGAACACATATTTATTTGAAATATGAAGTACAAGTTTACAAATTAATTTGAACTACAACTACAAATTTACAATTTTGAAATATGAAGTACAAGTTTACAATTTTGAAATATGAAGTACAAGTATAAATAAATTTGGCAAGTGCTATAAAATACATTTTGTAATAAATTCTAAAATACTAATCAATCGGAATCTCCGGCATAGGTAGAGCCACCATCGGTTGTTGAGTCATCCATGAAATCTTGGGAGGGGGTGATGCTCAATTCTTGAGTTCTACGTGCGACCTTCAACCAATCGTGGTAGCATATAAGCGTCTCAAGAGACTCCGCGCTCAATCTCGATCTAGATGCCGTTAGGACGTTGCCGGCCGAACTAAATTCTTGTTCCACAGCAACTGTTGAAACCAGCATTGATAGTACTTGCTTAGCCACCCGTGCTAAAATCGGGAACGTTCTTTCTTTTGACTTCCACCAGTCTAGAACGTCAAAGTCATCATTTTCTTCAAAATCAACTTCATATGTTAAATACAAAGTAATCTCATTCAATGCGCTTTGTTCAGTGACGTGAGTTGTTTTAGTTTTTTTCATAAGATTGCCAAATGCAGATTTAAAAATCGATTTTCCTTTAGATGAAGATGTTCGTGACGGGGGAGGGGGAGCGTTGCTATATTGTGCACGAAATTCATTAAATAAGGCATAAAATAAAGTACTAACCTCGTTGTATTCCGTTTTCGGATCTATGGGGTTATCGTCATACATTGGAAATTCACCGAAAAACGCAAGATAATAGAAGTTGAAACAATCTTCCAAATTAGCAAGTCTATAACGAGGATCGAGAATAAATGCAATACCATAAATATGAGGAATATGCGCATAATATTTTAAAAACTTTTCCTTCATATGATCACAAAAATAATGAACGAAAACGGCATTTTGAAATTCTTTAAAAGCATCGGCGAGATTAACAGCTTGTGGAATAAATTGGTTTGCGGTAGGTTTATAAACATGACTAAAAGTTTCAGTAGCATTAAAAAAAAAATCAAAACATTACAAATTTTTTCGCAAGTGTCGATCTCAGCCGCGTTTATAATATAGTTATCATGTTCTTTTAAAAAAGCAGGAAAATGTTCTTTATATCTAAGAACAACTTTAAGTAATTTATAAGTACTATTCCAACGAATACTCAAATCTTTAGGAAAAGCAACATATCTCACACCTCTTTCAGTCAAATAACTTTGCCATTTTAATCTAAGTTGACCATTACCCCAAATACGTCTAACCCCCCCCCCCCCCCTTTATTACCTCCATGGAATCTCCTAACGCTTTTAAACCGTCTTGCACACATAAATTTATAACATGACATGCACACCGTTGATAAAAAATCTACCCATCAAAGAATTGGCACCACACAACTCACAACTCACGCAATCTAGGTATAGCAGCAGTATTATTAGTAGCATTATCGAAACCAATAGCAAACACCTTATCAATCAAATTATACTCAATTAAAATACGCTCAATCAAAATATAAATATGTTCAGCGGTGTGACGATCATTAAATTCACGAAAAGCAAGAACACGTTTATGCATATTCCAATCCTCATCAATATAATGTGCAGTCAGACCCAAATAATATAAATGATGAAAATCATCCTCCCATATGTCAGAACAAATAGTAACACGCCCATCAAAGTTTGCAAAAAAATTTTGTAACCTTACCTTTTCCGCATTATAAAGCCTTATTATTTCTTTCTTAATAGTTTTGCGACTATAATTTCTAAATTGAGGATTTAAACTACCTTGTGCATAATCTCTTAAAGCAAGACTTTCAGAAAACAAATAAGGCAAATTTTCTTCACAAATTAAGTTAGCCATACCAGTCAAATTTTGTGCATCATTGTAGGAGAAATTACCAAAAGGTTGAGAATTCGCAAACCTCGATATTTGAGTTTGCTTCCCCGTTCCGCCGCCTAATTTTGCATATTCCACGGGGTGCTTTGCCTTAAGATGCCTTGCGGCGGATCCGTATCCGCCGGAGGTTCCCAAACTATAATTGTTGTTGCACCACTTGCAAGTTGCGTGCCAATAGCCGGTTTGTGGGTTCTTCCATTTATCAAAATTATTTTTCATTAGTTCAGACTTACTTTTTTTATTACCGGTGGCGGTTTGGGATGAGGCAGGCGCGTCGGCGTCGTGGCTGCCGGCACCCTCCTCCTCGGCCGTCTCCGGTTCCAATTCCTCCGCATCTTCATCCTCAAGCTCCTCTTCGTCAATGGTCGTCGGCATTTGTTGTTGTTGTAGAAAGCGGTTATTATGTCGGGCCAATTCTTGTTGGAGTTGTTCTTCGGACATCGCATCTCCATCTCGCCTTTGGTAACCCGTTTCAAAATCATCTCGGCTTTGAGATGAAGACCCGGCAAGTTCTTTACCTTTGCGGGATTTCTTCCTCCCAATCTCGTTTCTTCGATTGCGTTGGAGGTTACCCAAATCAACCGAATATCTACCACCTTCCATCTAAAAAATGTAACAAATATTAATTCACAACAAATATAATAATGGATACAAAACTAATGCAACTAATTAAAACTATTTTAATTAATACTTCAAACTAATTTTTTGCAAAGTAGAATTAATGTGTGTCTCTACAATTAAAATTATAGCAACTTTTGAAGTAAATAACTAGTACAAGTAAAAATGTAACAACAATGCTAATTAAGTAGTTAACTAGTATAGTGACAAATGTAACAAACTAACAACTAGTTAAATAAAATGTGAAGTATTTTAATTAGTATAATGAAAAATGTAACAAGAATGGTAATGAACTAATTAACTAGTATAATGAAAAATGTAACAAGAATGCTAATTAACTAATTAACTAGTATAATGAAAAATGTTACAATAATGGTAATGAACTAATTAACTAGTATAATGAAAAATGTAACAAGAATGCTAATTAACTAATTAACTGGTATAATACTAGTTATAGTAAGTAATATATAATATAATGTTTATATTATATAATATATAAGTATACTACTATAAGATGAGTAATACACTTATATTTTATACTTTAATATATAAAATATATATTAAGTAGATGTAGAATGTATGTATTAAGTGGATATAATAATTGTATAAGAATTAAATATTAGAGTATAATGGAGAATTGGAGATTGGAAAATAAGTATATATAAAATATAAGTAGAGAAGTAGATATTATTATGTATTAAGTATATAGTAATAGTTTATAAAGTATATTTAATACTTTATTATATAAAGTATATATTAAGTAGATATAGTATGTATGTATGTATTAAGAGATATAAGTAGAGATTAAGTAGATAAGAAATATAAGTAATATAGTATATGTAGATAATAATATATAAGTAGATAATTAATATATAAGTAGATATAATAATTGTATAAGTATTAAATAGTAAAATAAAATATAAAGGAGAATAAGAGAATTTGAGAAGATGAATATGGAGAATTGGAGATGAGTAGAGAGTAGGATTTAGGTAGAGTTGGAGAAGAGGTGTGAAAAAATGTTTAAAATTAGGAGTATTTATAGGTTTTTTTTTTAACCCCCACTCCCCACCCCCACCCCCCACCCAAAGCCCCCTGACCCCCCCCCCTGGTACCACCCAACGGCTATATAGCCGTTTGGGGTGGCCGTTGAGCCCAAAGAAGCAAAAAAAAAAAAAAAATTAAATTTTGGACCGTTAGGCCCGGGCCTCCAAAACCAGGACCCGAGCCCGGTCCCGCTAACCCGACCGGGTCTGTGCCCGAACCGTACCCGGACCCGAGAACCGGGCCGGTTCCGGGCCCGCACAGTGGCGGGCCGGTCCCGGGCCGGGCGGCCCGAACCGGGTCCACGCCTAATTATGAGTCTTGTTATTGTTGATGATATAAAACTGGTCATGCTACAATTGCAATTTTAACGGGGGGAAAGCATCAAAAGCACCATTAGTAATGCAATAGTTGTATTTGGAAAAAGGTGAAATGAACGACATGATACATATTAAAAGTAAGCAAGTATACAATTGCATATTTGCATACTCGGACAAACATTTTATTTGTTCTCTAAACTACCTCAAAAAGAAGATTATACAGAACTATTGCGTTATAATTATTGCTCTCCAAACCTGTGACTTTATTCCGTATCTTACACACAACAATGGCTCTTCCCCACCTTTACAAGAATTTGTTGACTCTTTCCTATGCTAGCCTATTATATGCCTCCCGACGATGCATTTCCAGAGCGGCTATCTTTGCGCTCAGCCAACATTTCAGCATGATGTTCTAAATATTCTCTGCTGTTCATCTCCATCAATCTGCAAGTGTACCCAACCCATTCAGAGATTATACTTCTTTTAGCTGGCGAAGGAAACCTTTTATAATACACTGATGCACAGAAAAGCTCTAGGAATATATTTTCCTGTAACACTGCGGCCGTTTTCATAGATTCTAGAATTTTAGGGACCATCTTTTTAACGCATCGTTAGATCAATGACCACTTTTGTTAGCTAAATGCAGTCTTTTATGAACGTGTATAAGCTCCAGCGGTTAATTCTTTTTTTTAAGAAACAATTACAGAGTATTCTTTCCATCATTTGCAATGGAGCCAAAGATTCATTATTTTTTGGCTTAAGAATATGATGGAATAAAGCAAAATGGCTCACCAAATTATCTGCTCTTCTTTGTTATGAAGCAGCGGTCAGTCCATGCAATTTTGGACGCGATTTTCATTATGGGTCATCCGAAAACAGTCTCTCTGTGCTTTAGTACAGAGGTAAGACTGTGTACATCTGACCCCACCGTAGGTGGGAGCCTTTGCGGCACTGGGGTAAATGATGATTGATTGATTGAAACAATTACGGAGTATTATTTTGCTCATTCAGAAATTCCAGTAACAATTCACTCCACCAAACAGATTCTGAAGTAATGATCTTTTGCAGTCCCCCCATGATATCACCACTTCAGAGGCCATAAGAATAAAATACTTTGTGTATAACAGTGACTGAGAATGGGAGATAAAATAATTACCTACTAATTGTACGATCTTTTGCAAAACCAAGTTCGTTATCAACACAAAGGTCAATATCATCTTTCTTGATCGACCGTGAAGACCTTGGAGCAATCTGTTTGGCATCGGCGATGGTCACAATTCTTTCAAAAAGCTCTAACGGGAAGCCCTCTGCTGTGCATATCATTCTTGCTTTATTTTCATACATCACCTGTAATCCCGTTAAAAATAATCAGTGTGTTTGGATGAACAATTTTCAATGAGTAAGTGCTTTTGAAGTAAGAAAAGTAATTTTAATTCGAAAAGGAACATTTCCCAGGGCAATGGAGAAGTGCATGTTCGGGAAACTTATGGTATAAGTAGTTTTTAACTTAAAACTACTTATACAATAAGTTTCTGAGCATACACTTTTTCTGGGAATCATTAACTATATTCAACAAATGAAACAATTTAGCACAATATTGACAAAAGGAATGCTGCACTTTCTTATTAGTAAAAAAAGAAAAACAATATAAAACAGACTATGAAGGAAATCAAGAAGAGACACAGACTAACATCAACCAAGGTAACGAAACGATATGCTGCAGTCCTATTATGAAGTCCAAATATGGGTACTCCATCCAACGCCACCGTATGAAACTTTTCTGTTGAAAAAATTAGAATGAATAGGATGACATAAGCAATAGATTTTTTTTGTTTATTACCTCTAAAAGCAATCAATAGTAGAGTGCACGGAAATATTACAGCAACAACATCCAAGCCTTATTCCTAAACATTTTGAGGTCGGCTAACATGAATCAACATATGAAATTGGAGTTAAAAGGGATAAAAAGAGATCAATCCTCTCTGTGTATACTCTCCACCCACTTTGATCTCTCCAAAGTGTGAGGGAATATTGAGCAGGAAAAATTGAAAAGGTGTGACTGTGTAACCATCAAATTTTGACTCAGATAAGCTTAAGCTTATGTTAGGATGGAAAATGCTAAGTGAAGGGAGAAAATGCTGCAAAATAGTTAGTGCCTTATGCATGGTTTTTTCTTGAAAAGTGCAAATGAAAGCAAAAAAATGAATCATTTTCGTGAATTTCTTCCGTCTATTTATATTTCTTATTCTTACAATGATATAATAAATAAATAAAATAAATTATTTGAAGAATTATCAGCGATAAATTGTCGAGTAGATAATCCTTTTATGTACACCACATGTTCTTTCGTCCATGTTTTCAATTTTTCATCCATACTTCCATTTCCTAGCATTTTCGGAGTTATGGACCAGATCCCAACAAAATCGGGAGCAAATACAAAATACACTTCCATGTTCCAGAAAAAAACGGGAACCGAACTACTTACTGCATAATCCAAGATAGTCTGCTGCTCCAAGAGGCCTATCACATAGTTCATCGAAAGGGAAAAATGCACAGCCATTGGCACCTAAAGGTACCTGATATATTCCAGAATAGGAAAAATGATGATTTCTTATCCAAATAGTAAAAAATATTAAGGAAGAAAATCCAGCATCTAAAAGAACCTGACAGATTGAAGAATCAACAAATAAAAGAAAACACAAAAGATAAAATTTCCTTAATAAAAATATTGAAGAAAATCCAGCATGTAAAAGAACCTAACAGATTAAAGAATCAACAAATAAAAGAAATCAAAATAAGTAATGGAACATGAAATATTGCATGGACAAAAACATAAAGCTATCTTATTCAGAAAATTATTTAAAATTAACAAGAAAATGGAGCTTAAAATATTGACAATATGTGCGCAACTGAGTAAGCTTCTAATAAAACTTAAGAGATCTAAAGGAATTTTCAGAACAATGGCAGAACCTGTAATTTTCTTCCCATAACAACTTCCACCTCTTGTGGAACGGCATCATGCTGACCTACCAGCGTTTGGAATTTTTGCATGAGAAGACTTGACAAGTCCTTGCCAATGAAGTAGAAACCTTCTTCTCCCTATAATCCCATAACCATGGAAATCAATAAAGCGTCACACAAACATTAAATAGTTTTTAAAAAGAAAATTCCAGTTTCAAATATACCGATGTCAACTTTCGATAATCCACGGATGAGCCAATTTCATGTGCTACACATCTTTCCTATAAAATGTAAAGTTTTCTTAATATTGAATGCCGATCGATGTACATGACTTTGGAAGAAATAATAATGACGAAAGATTATATACCAAAGTGATTGGAGTTCAAAGTTGAGTTTTCTGTTTCTAGTCATACTAGAGATGGTGATTCACTTGGAAATATTTTAGAGAGACTTAGGATCTATCTGGAACCCAAAAATTGCTGGGGAAAGAAAATAGAGAAGAAATTTGAAAGGAGAGATAATTCGGAGATGATTGGTAAAGTGAAAGGAACTCAATAAATCAATTGTCTATATCTGTTTACTCATTTATATATATATTTCTATTAAAATTAGGCTAAGAAATATAAATACTTGTAGAAGTTTAAAAAGTTATAAACAAATCTGAT